GACATTACAGAGATGATTTCAAAAAATTATTGTATTGATATTTTCCGAATTTTCGATCGTGGGCAAATGAGTAGGTTCTTTGGTGAGGGGATATTGTTACGGTAATAGAACCAAATTCGAGATTCGCTTTGGATAAAAAAAAGGTTTAAAAACATTATAGGATTGTTGTTACGTGTTATTGACAATCTTACCGGTTTCGAATCAGTTTAAATAAATACAATATAAAAAAATATTACTTTAATTAATGCGTTATTTATTTGTAACGGCCACGAAAAAATTTGCATTAGCGTCCTAGTTTAGGTACCTAGTTAATTAAGCGGACGTTTACACTAACTCTCAATATTTTATTTCATACTAAGAAATTAAGTACAAATAAGCTGTTAAAAATTTGAAAATACATAATATTTCTAAGAGTTTTGTCACAGTTAAAACGTGAATTTATAATACCTATAAAAATATTATTAATGATTATAGTCTAAGAGGTCGAAACAAAAATGTCCAAAAAGCTTTCTAAAGCTTATTGTTTCAATATGTAGAAATACTAAGGGTGTATACCCTCATCATCCAGTGCGAAGGTCAGGTGTTGGAACACCTGGTGGCGGTGGCGCGGAACATAGCTGACTTTCTACATACTGAAATATGAAGATTAAGAAACTCTTGCACTTTTTTGTCACGAGCTCTTTGATTTTATTTTTTTGCTAAATCAATATAAATATTAGTAATTTTTGTCTAGGCGCCCTCTTAATGGCAAACGTCACGTATTCATTAATTTTGTATATAGGAAATGTCACTAGTTGTTTTAAATAATGGAAATGTCCATGATTCTAATAATGTAAATAAATTCAATACATACCACTTCTAAATTAATTATAGAATAATGGGTTATGGTTTACGCTTTCAAAAAGTTTAGGGACTTGTGTGTAAGATTTAGTTTTCCCTCCAGGGTTATAAAATCTGTATATTGCTTTAGGGGTGTATTAAAGCCTTACATCCTTTTTTAATCTTTTAATTTACAATATAACAAACAAGTTATTTACATTACACTAAATTTGTGTTTAATTAAAGCAATGTTAAAATAATTTACCTCCTACCTATACCTATATAGGTGTGTGGTTGAATCCAACAGATGTTAATTAGAAAACTATGATATTTAGTGGTTGATCAATTGTGCATGCCATTTAAGATGTTCTGATTTCTATTTTTAAGATGTTCTGATTTCTATTATTTGATACACAATTGTGACAGATAGTTTATCTGAGAAGTACAGTGTTATATGTAATAAAGGGAGCTCGGTCTGCCAATAAACTGTTAAGCAGTTTGGCGGAATAAAAAATTGATATTTTTTTGTCAGTGTACTGCTTAAGTGAATAAACTTTATAGCAAGACTACTAACGATCTGATGATCGTTAATTTCCTCACTACTGGCTAGGCTTGCCAATTTTTATTAAAAGAAATAGAGTACATATATGTATCTAATTTGAAAGGAGGTAAATATAGAGTACGGACTTTTATTAAAAAAGTGTATCATTCATTTAACATTTTTTTTGGTTACTATAATTGGTATGCGTATCACTAGTATCATGTACAAAATATGAAAAAGGAGTATTTTCGCGTCATGTATTCGTGTTACATTATAAGAGTACGTTGGGCAACTCTAATGCCATCCCTAGACTTGACGACCGCACCTTGTATCTAGGTGCACGAGACAACAACAGTGCTATCGAGCTTTAGATTACTAACAATATAAAGAAATAAAATTATAGAGAAATTAATTGATATACCACAAGTATGTTTATCAATTATAGCAAGAGATATGAGTGTTATAATACGGCATGCTAATTGATTAACAAATTAATTATCTGATTGTGTTAGTTGGTAATGATATGGTTAATGTCGTTACTACTGTTAAGAGCTGGTAAGTTTCGCTAGTTTGTCCAACCAAAACATGTATTAAAAAGGTTGGTATGAAAAATAATTTGAAATATTCCAACGAGTTTTCACTAAGCTTATTTGAATAGAGAGTATTTTAATTTCATGGCAATTCTACAATTGAGTAGGCCATAATCCAATGACATGGCTTATCTATCAAAAAATATAATTTAAATAACTTTCTTTTGTTTTTAATTACTTTGTATTTTTTGTAATAAAAAAAGCTATTTTAACTTGGTTTTGTTTTATGTATCATTATGGGTTTCTAAAGTATCTTCTCCATGTTTATTTGAATAGAAGCATTGATTCACGTTTTGATTAATGATTTACTTATTTGTGGTCTTCTTACACGGCAGTTACTTGCATAGTAATATAAATATCATAACCACCAGCTCCAAAAGCATAGCAATTTTATGGCACCTGTGTAATTTATCCATTGACATTAAGACACACGCAACAGTTACCAAGGCTAACCACGCATTGAGGATTAGACGAGGTCACTGTTATTATTGCACATATGCATACACAAACGGATTGCTTTCTTAGAAAATGTGTAAAAAAATTAACAGAAGACAAATTTTAATTGCACAATTCGATATAACTCGTGGACCCCGCGCAGGGGGAAGCGTCTATGCGAAATGCATATAAAAAGGTTGCACCAATTTATTTTAATAATAACAAATAATTCATTGCACCACCAATGGTTAGATGACATAAAAATTTTAACTGTTTCGCTGGTTAAAGTTATTATTTTAATATGCCAAAAATAATAGTGCAACGCATTCCACAGTCAATGTTAAAGTCAGCCTGATAGATATCGCCTGACAAAAACCTTAATTTTAACTGCTGTTATGATGCAATCTTATTATACCTACCTAAATAGTAGTACTATAGGAACACAATTATATTTTGGTACTAAGAATACTCATGATTTATCTACTTAATATACGGTATCTAGCTAAAAGTGTTAATGCCGTTTGAAAAAAATTGTAAGCGAAAATATTTATATTAAAAAACAGGCGAAAAATAACCCAAAGTATTATGTGAACGTCGAAAGTATACGATACATATCGCTGTTCATAGAATTTAATTTTCAATCGGACGTAATATCAGCGAACGAATATAAGGTATGTACACTATTCGTCACATATTCGAGATACATACTGTCTTTGATTTTATACCTGTATAATCAAAGTGTGCTATAAAACTTGTAGTAGAACCAGACAAGTTTGATGGCTTGTAATGACGTAAATGTTGTCTAATTTTAAATCATGTTTCCATCCATCGATAAGACAAGTTTCATGATATACTACTATTAAAAAGAAGAGTTAAGACCTATCGAGGATTTTATACAAAAATAAAATTTTAAAGCTTATAGCTTATTTATGTATAGGGTTACCTATCTTTAATTCAGAGGTACTGCTTAAACAATGCACACAGCCCAGGAGTCTGAAAACTTGGACATGTCATAACAAATACCTGTGTGACAATTAACCTTGCACGGACGGATGATCAGTTGCGTTCTAACTAGTGTAGCCAGACGTCCCGTATTTCAGACATAAATTCAAATGTCTCTCCGGGACCCACTCTGACCCGTATATCAATTAAATTTCACAAACGTTGTTAAACTTATGTACGAAATAAGTGTACCGCCAACATACGAAAATTCTAATCAATTACCATATTGAACTATCCAATTTATTACCATATACAACTTTTATTAATATTTCAAATAAAAAAATGTGTTAAAACATTCTCGTTCCTCTGAAAAATATTTTAAAAACATCATAGTAAATAATTATTTTTTTTATTTATCCCGGATGAAAAATTTTAATCCCGTATTTTTTTTCTATCTGAGCATTTGTCCCTTACAAACTGAAAAAAAAAAATGTGACAACCCTTCCGTCAGATTTGTACAGACCCTAAGATAACGTTGTCGTAAATATATCAATAAATAATTTTTGTGTGTTTTTTTTTTATTTTAACTTTGGTTCACTCCTGTGAAGTTCAACTTATGTCCTACAGACTTTGAAAGTTGTATTTACTATTGTGATAAATTGATAATACATATTATTTTGGTAATGACATGATTTATGTAAATGTCATTACTTATGATAAAAAGCTGATAAGTTTCTTTCGCTTGTTCTTGTTGCTTGTTGTTCAGGACGTCTTTTAGCTGACAGCTAAAAGACGTCCTGAACAAGTGGTAGGGGAAAAAAGTTTTTTGGACGATTCAAAAGTGCTTGTAATAGCCTACTTGAATAAAGATATTTTCATTTCATTTCATTTCATTTTAAAATTGTTTGTTTTGCACCTACTACCAATTGCCCATGATCCTTCAATATCATGTGCCATTACATGATATGACTTAGTAGGTGTGAAAGTTGCTAGATATCATAATTTCAGAGTTATGGACTTCCGCAAGATAACACCTGATCGTTTTCAATGATTATGAGTGATGTTCATTTAGGGGCCTCTAGGGGCTCTGCTCTTCGTGAATTTTAAAATAAAAATTAATTTCTCGTTTATGGAACGAAAAACTATATTACAAACATTAGATAATATTTGGTTTACGAGTCTACTTAATGGCGTTCACATAATTATTTTTTCACATTGTTCATACTGTTTCCCCAATTTATATGAATATATTAATATAAAATTTCCTGAGGTTATTAAGCTCAAAAACTATCGAACTGATTTTAATAAGTTTCTTTATTGCAACAAATTAGCGACTCATGTCATGAGGAAGATTTTCTTTGGTGTACATTTAATTGGTAATCGGTTGGTGGTGATCTTTATCTATAGAGCCGCTGACATTACTGACTAAAAATAAATTTGTTTCATTAAAGGCAAAGGAATTTAGCACATAAATCCCTGTCTGCAAAAAATCTTTTTTTTATCAGAACGCCTGTGGTTGTATGTTTAAACATTTCGCTAAAAGTTTTGAAGCCAATCTAAAAATTTAAGATCAATATAAAAAAGTGACGCTCACAGTCACAATCGCACTCCGCCATCGAGACCTGCAGAAAAATACTAATTATATTCTAATAAAAAAAAAAATCACGTTTCAGACATGTACTTGAGCAAAAGAGGACCACAACCAGGCTTGATGTTTCTGTTCGACATGAGAGGTGTGAAGCTCGGCCATATCACACGATGTGGACTGACGTAAGTGTTACCAGTCATATAACGCTAAACTACTTTTATTGGTGTACTACAAAAAATACTACCGATATATATTTTCCTTTTTTTTTACAAAATTAATTAATTCCAACCACGAGTGATGTGCATTGAATTTGTCGAATGCAAAGGAGTTAGAATATTTTAATGTGGAGCCTGTCTGTCCTACCATTCTCATTTTTTTGTCGACGAAAAACAGAAGGTTCTTTCCACATCTGCTTATAAGTTTATTTAGTCAGATTTTGATAAATTTATAATTTTTTTGTTGTGTATAATGTAGTCCCATAAAAATATAAAAATCGAATTATATCAATGTATGAGTCATTTTCATATAGCAGTCCGTCAAAAACTTCATATGAAACAAGTTGACATAACGACACGTTTTCGAAATATGATAAAAATATAAATGGACGAGGACTCAGTGCGTAATGCGCCTTGTCTTTTTATCGATATACCTATATCTAGATTTATTTACTTCCTATTAAGATAAGTATTAAAATGTTATTATGTGAATATTAATACATTATAAATATTAACAAATCATTAAAATATGAAATGATTACTATGTGAATATTTATACATTATAAATGTTAATAAATTATTTAAATATGAAATTATAATACTACTTTTTTGATAATATTAAATTGTAGGAAGAAAATTATGCGCTGACTAAAAGTTTACGCTGTATGATATATAAACTTTAAAATTACAAAGAAGAGCTGCTGAAAGATTACTTTTCAACTCTGGATGGATTACACGATTTAATGGGTCTCTACAGTAAAATATTTTTTGAAACTGTTCCTAAGTTGAGGGTCATAACTTTACACCGAAAGAGCCACAGCTTGTCGACCCCAGGTTGCCTTGTATTCAAGTTTATAGGATAGCATTGAATATCGACTTTTCTAAAAAAATATCAATATTACATTTTTATCTAATTTTCATTTAATCGGCCTATATAAGTAAGTTACAACTAATGTGACTCACCAATGAACCTACGTAGAATTCTATTTTACTTTCTAAGACGGATAATGTCGACGTACCTACCGACGAGACGGACACCCAAATGATATTTATAATTATTATTAGAACAATACTTATTATAAAGTTTAATAGTATGTTCTGTCATCGTCGGAATTACTAATTTATTATTGCCTAGATTGCCAGAGCAGTAGCAATCATGATTCTAGCCGTAGTGTATGACATGCTATCGATGTTATGGCGATATTTCGTTTCATCTTGCTTCTTTGACATGTCTTTTGGTGAATAAATTTGAGGTAAATTATTAATTTGGCAATCTATAATTATTATTCTTTATCATTCGTTCGTAGTTAATAAAGTACATGTTTCAATAGTAAAGTGGAACGAAATATCGACATAGTATCGCTAAGATATCGTATCCTATGGCTAGAATCACAGTTAGAGTTCGGCGGTCACACACACCCCCGAAGATAGGACCCCTCTACGCAAACGATGACACACCATGCGCCATATTAGCCGGAACTTACCAATGTTGCCGTCTTTTTTACCTCTGTTAGCACATAATTAGCTTATGTACGTTTTTGCATACTTTTCATATGTTTAATACAAGCTATCGTCATTTTTTGCTTTTACTATAATATCTACATTAGCTTTTTTCGTGTGTCCGTTGTATGGTTTAAATGCACAAAATAATATTTTTTTTTTATGTTTTGTAGCTTTCAAAAGGATAAACAAAGGTAAAAGACGTGCAATTTTGCAATTATTATTATTTTACTAGCTTTCGCCAGTGGCTTAGCCCGCGTGGACCCTAGAGAAGTGTGTGTTTAAAAGTATCCTATTATCTAAGTCAGCTAATACCCTATCTGTATACCAAATTTCATCAAAATCCGTTCAGTAGTTTTGGCGTGACTGACCAACAAACATCCAAACAAAGAAACTTTCACATTAATGATATTAATAGGATTATTATGTGTGTTCTTACGATGATTGCTTGTTCACATATTTTTTGTTTATTTTTTTAAATTATGTATTCTATATAGCTAGCTTTCCGCAAGCGGTTTTGCCCGCGTGGTCCTGTATTTAACGTATACCTAAGCATTTCTCTTGAATCATTCTGTATATTGACGAAAACCACATAAAAACTGTTGTGTAGTTTAAAATATCTTAATACATAATAATAATTATTCATTTATTGCTTGACCAAAAAATTATTATATCGAGCTACTCCGTGCTTCTGAAGGCACTTTAAACTGTTGGTCCCGGCTGCATTTGCAGTCGTTGTTACCCTTCAATCCGCATTGGGCCAGCGTGAATATTAACGACCATTTGCAAGAGTCGGGTGCCTTCGGTTATGCAGATGACACAACATTATCGACAAATACTGATCGGACTCAAAGGCTATCAGAGGTGAAATCCAGTCTTGTCTAGAGTCCATCTTGTCGGATTCAAGCCTACCAAAACGCAGGCTTGTTTATTTATCGCCAAACGCAGTCGTATTTAATTGGCTCCAACTTTCGAAGATGTATCTTGCTGATGACCGATCACCTTCATCTTCTGGTCTTCGATTTGTCATCCAATGTTACTTTGTTGAGTAGTACATCGTATCCATTGTAAATACTGCAGCTAAAAAGGTTAGCATCCACTTGAAGGCCAGGAGATACTTCTTGCTCCAGGAGATATTACTGCACAAACTTTGATCCTTCCTTGGTGCAGTACTGCTGCCACGTTTGGGTTGGCTTTGTGAAAGTTTAGTTGGCCCCTTTGGACGCGATTGAAAACTAAGCAAAAAGACTCATTGAAAACGCGACTCTTACAATAGACCAATTTATGGACCTCAAGCATCTTTATTGCTGGTCTGACGGTGTTTTATAGGCTGCGTTTTGGTGAGTGTTTATAGGAATTTCATGATTTAGTTTCACTAGTCCCGGGATATTACAAGCAGGCTTACTTACCACCCGTACATTGTCGACCTCCCACCTGATCGCTCTTTTCCTATCTCTTCGAACTGTTCAAGAATGGAATGCACTGGCTGGTCTTCACCAATCGGTATAACCTGGAACTCTTCAAGGCCAAAGCGAACATGCACTTCCTGGGTAGGAATATACCTTCTTAAACCACATCTTACATACTCGTAGTATCAGGCCAGATAGTGACTTAATGTCAACCTAGTCTTTGAATAAAAAACATATGTTAAACATATTTACTGGATAATTCCAGATAGGTTATAATAAGGTTTATTACATTGTAAACTTAAATTTAAAACTGGTTTTGTGTCAGTATAATAAATTGTAACAGGTTTTATGGTTTTACTGCGAGAAACATCAAGTTACAATGTTGATGCTCAGGGCTTATGTAATGAATAAGATCGTTAATTATAGAAGCTAAAATTATAAATACAAAAATAATTTGTGTCTAATTTGCTTCTTTTTCTATAACACAATACTATGTGAATATGAATATTTTTAAATAAAATCATAGCGCACATCCAGAACAATAATTATGATTCATAGTTGATTAATTTTGAATTTACAATGAGTGCATTTCTGCCAACAGTCCAAAAAAAATTGTATTTTAGCTGTAGATTATATTATTTATTATTATATTTCGCACCCTTAGTATGAAAGTCACCGAAGAAAATATCCTCATGAAAGACTCCAAAAAATTATTGATTTTTTTATATTGTCACGCGCATTATTCTTAAATAAAACAACTTTAAAGAGGTATTTTTATTTTATTGACGTTTCGGACATTTTACAAGTTCCCTTGTTCACTTATGACTAAGGTGTTGATTGTTTTTTTATTTTTATTATTACTATTGGATACATTGACAATACAGTTTTTTTTTATGGTAACTTTTACATTTATTATAATATATATATATATATATATATATATTGCTAATTTGGGAGTTTTGTCTGAGATCTGGCGAAACAAACTCCGTCAAGAAAAGTGAATTTGCTCCCTTTGATTTAATATTTATAGAATGCTCCTCTTTTTATGTACATTATTCTACATCTTTTACACTCAATCAAGCTAGATTAGTGAAAGAAACCGATGCTTACACTATCACTGTTTTACTGAAGTCTAGTCTCTTTTTCTCACAGTGTCTTACAGTATGTTTTGTAAACAGGGCCGGCGCATCCATATAGGCAAGCTAGGTTACTGCTCAGAGCGCTCGTATTTGGAGGGCAGCCAGGCATGGCAACCTTAAACCCTACTTTAGAAAATTGATTTTTGTTCTTTGAACATGATTATTTTTTCATGTATGCGGTATTCAAAAGTACAACATTTACAGACCAGCAGAACCTTGATTTTGGCAAAATTTACTCCTTAATCGGTGTACCTACATTAGTCTTTTAATTTATTATGTTTTTTTTTTATGGACTTCGTTTCAGTGTTTTGCCTAGTGCGCCCCATTTTATTGAATCTTCATTGTTCAATTTATCGCAAAAAAAAAAAAATACTACAATTACATGCAGATTTAGATTCAGTTACACATAGAATACAGTTCATTCCATTTGGTGATGCAGTTAAAATCAGAAAGTACAAGAATAATGAGTTAAGCTACTTTCATTCTAAGAGTTTCTATTTGATAAATGTATTCATTCTATATTGACGTTGATCTTATCTTATAAGATATAATGATATTAAGGAGCTACTATGCATGCGAGGAGGCTCTTAAGTCTTGACATTCACTTAACTATCGATTGTGTTACGTTTGCAGGGGTTTCCGTAAGTTCTTCACCTACATCCAGGAGGCGATGCCGGTGCGCATGCGCGCGATTCACGTGCTCAACACAGAACCCATACTGGATAAACTGCTGCTAGTCATCAGGCCGTTCATGGAGAAGAAGTTCTACGACATGGTAAAGATTTTGTAGTATCCTAACCGCTAATGCAGTGTCCATAAATTATGACGCTATTTCATGGTTTTCTTAACCCTCTCTTCATCCTTATCACAGGTGCACGCGTACCGTACCAACTCAAGAAACGCTTTGTCTTTGCCAGTTCTCAGTTGAGAATGAGTATGGCCCGAGAAAAGTGACATTTGGGTCTAGATAAAACGTTTTCGAGTTCGTCATTGTACGTGTGCTGGTCATATTTTTGAGAACCTAGTCTTTTTTAGATTATAAAATGTGACGTCACTAAAATTCGGAGCATTCTCATCTCCTGTCACACTTTATCGACTTCCCTCCTCCCTAACATGTGATGCGTTTTATTACGTTATAAAAAAGTTGTCACAATACACTCAAAAGCTTTTGAGTTCCTTCGTTATTTAGTTGGTTAGGAAAGTTTTCCTTCTATGTATAGATGTGCAGTATTTAACAACACAGTGTGTTCTTCCACCAGCTCCACTTCCACCACAAGGACGAAGACATGGAGAAGTTCTTCTCCACTGTGGTATCGAGATCAACTGTGCCTTCTGACAACGGCGGAACTCTGCCCGACACTCAGACCTTAAACAAGAGGTGCATACAGAATCTCCACGCGATGGAGGACTATTTCAAGGCAGAAGAGGAGCAAAGAATTGCAGCGTTACCCGATAAGAAGCGAGACAAAGCTATGGAGAAGGCATTCAAAAACTTGGACATAGATTAAGTTGTTGCAGACGATCCAGCTGTAAGTCAAATTAGTTGTGAGAGAGTATTAATAAATATAGATTATGTGTTGAACAAATTCGCCGCTATTAAGATATGAATTAGCGTCTTCTAGCAAGCCAGGTTAGTTGCTAGTCTATCAAGTAGAGGTGTAATTAGCGTCGTTGGAAGCGACCTCACACTAATATAGACCTTCCATTAGAGCGGGCTTCGCAACAAAAAGTACTAACACTAAAAGACCTTTAACGCGCTTGTAAGTTTTGTATTTTATTTGTATAAAAGGAACATTTACTTATATAGTAAATGTTCCTTTTATACCCGCATGACGTCTGATTAACAATATATCGACGGCGAAGTGCCAATACCTTCTAACTAACACAGACAAAATTTTACACAAAGTGATAAAAATGTTTAATTTCTTGAAAACGTTAAAATCAAGAAATCAATTTATATGGAGCACATATCAATATGACAGGCTTAGGTTTCAATAAAATATTAATTTGATTAATAGAGAGTTTTAACTACCAATAAAACTTACCTATTATTTTTCCTAAAGATATCCGGAATCCATCTTGAGTCAAGCATCATCCTTTTTGTGACGTTTCCGGTCTAAAACACTACCTCCCCTCTTACTTCCGGCGCCTGTGCTGCCATCTAGTTTGCGGGTAGCGAACCAATGACTTTTAGGCACGAACGCTTACCGTCATTATACCTACTCTAGATGCACCAGGTAGAACTTACCTGGATTCCGGATATCTTTAGGAAAAATAATAGGTAAGTTTTATTGGTAGTTAAAACTCTCTATTATTTGTTCCGTTCGATATCCGGAATCCATCTTGAGTGATGTGTTTGTTATCTCCTGGTGAGTGCCATTGGTGACGCTATAATGTGTTGCAGGTATAAAAAGTCAAATGTAGTCTGATGAGAAAAAATAATGCATATTATAAGTATATTATGCTATTACATTCATAGTACATATATTATGCTGTTACATAACAATGCAATTATAATAATTATTCAAGAGTTTCGGTAATCTAAGCTAAATAAATATTGGCTTATCTGTTATCCGTCAATATCATTAATGAATTGAATGGAATAATAAAAATGTAAATACATAGATATCGGAATTTTCTTGATTGTTCGATTTATCAGTTTTCGATAGGACTTCCTAAAAGTATGTTCTTGGCGCCAGTTTACAGTTTCAGTAATTTATCCATCGGAAACAGTTCCAGTCAATTTAGAGATGTAATAGACCCTGAAGAATCTTCTACATTATGTGCTCCTATTTAGCATTTTTGAGAACAGAGTAGTTAACTCGTGAAAATTACTTCTTTTTGGGGCTCTTTCAATACAAAAATTGATCGCGTGACCAATACATGCAATCGAATGATTTGTGTCAGTTAATCATTTCTGTCCAGGCTGTCATAATAACTATTATCTGTTTTTAATACAAAATGGGGCCATAAGACACAAAATCATTTTCGTCCCTATACTTCAAAGGTTAAAAGGGTTAAATAATGGATTCTGCGACCTTGAAGATTGTGAAATTATGCTAAATTTCCAGCAACTTAAATAGAGTCAATTCTGCCAATGTCTACGTAATATTTCCATTGTACTATATACCTGAAGTCTAATATTATTAGTGCAATGTCTTCCTAACAATTCAATATTGACAGATATATTTATTATTTTATGATCTAGTAACAAGAATGTGTCATAAAGGGTTGTAGTCGAAGCGCTATTGACCCTTCACCATTACGCCGACATTAGCAGAATTTCCCTACCGGGCACTTGTTATTTGCAGAATGAATACTAGTAGATATTTATAGTCGCTTTACATTAAATCGATAGTTTCAAGATTTTCTTTATTTTATTTTGTTCTGCCCGACTTTTAAATAAATTTTCTGAATTTCGGGGGATGAACACCTGTTGCCATACCTATTGCAGTATTTGCGGAAACAAATCGTCAGCCTAGACACTTGTCCCATTTTGGAACAATCATAATGTACTTACTTGCCTTGACGTTTACTGGAGTCGAGAAAGTATTTGCGGAATCATGTTTGAATAAGGCCAGCTTGCATTTACACTGATGACGTCATGCGTTATGACCTATTAGCTTGCTCGTCCGTCACATCCATTGTCATGAACCTGGGAATGACGTGTGCTTTTGTCGATGGAATAAGTTCACATCTGGTGTACATTGGGCTGCTAGATTTAGTATTCAGGCTATGCATAATTTCTGAATCTGCCTTGGTCGTGTCATAATTACAATAATTTCCTAGATTTGGTCCCCCATCTTTGTTTATGTACGGGAATCAGTACAGTTCTCTTAGCATTTACATCTAGGCATTCCGCGAAATGAAGACTCGCGTGAGTAATTGCCTCGAGTTGAGCACTCGAACAGATTTCCTATGCACCTGTCCTCGAATGTTGAGCGATTTGCGTTGCATTTATTGGAAGGTATCATGATACAACAGTTACTTATCATTTTAAGTCATTCAGTACTGGGTCTGGTAATCCGAGTAGGTAGTAATAGTTTTAAGATGTCGATGTTAGTATTGCAGTGTGCGACAGTGTTATCACCCTGTTCGAATCACAAACGAGGCAAAGTCGAGTCTCCACATTAGGAACTGGGCCTGATCTGATGCTGAAGTGCCATGCGTAGCGTGAAGCGTTCAGTTCAAACAGGGACCTCACTAAATGTTCAGTACTGAGTCTGGTAGTTTGATTCGGTGGTAATGGTGATCTTTGAGCAACTGTCGATGGTAGTATTGCAGTGTGCGACAGTGTTATCACCCTGTTCGAATCACAAACGAGGCAAAGTCGAGTCTCCACATTAGGAACTGGGCCTGATCTGATGCTGAAGTGCCATGCGTAGCGTGAAGCGTTCAGTTCAAACAGGGACTTCACTAAATGTTCAGTACTGAGTCTGGTAGTTTGATTAGGTGGTAATGGTGATCTTTGAGCAACTGTCGATGGTAGTATTGCAGTGTGCGATAGTGTAGTTACCCTCTTCGAATCACAAACGAGGCAAAGTCGAGTCTCCTCATTAGGAACTGGGCCTGTCTGAGGGACTAACTGCCTTGTACAATCTGATGCTGAAATGCCATGCGTAGCGTGAAGCGTTCGGTTCAAACAGTGACTTCGCTGAATGTTCTGTACTGAGTCTGGTAGTTTGATTCGGTGGTAATGGTGATCTTTGGGCAACTGTCAATGGTAGTATTGCAGTGTGCGACAGTGTAATCACCCTCTTCGAATCACAAACGAGGCAAAGTCGAGTCTCCCCATTAGGAACTGGGCCTGTCTGAGGGACTAACCGCCACGTGTAGTCGCCTCGTGCTGAAGTGCCATGCGTAGCGTAAGGCACTTCGGTTCCGACAGGGACGCACCCCTGACTTCCCCGGCACTTCCCGGCACCTCGTGACCGTGTTGGTCACGATGCACCAGGCAACGCCGAGGAAGCTCAGAACCAGCACACACTGCTCGAAGTTGAGAGACCACCCTAAGCGCTGCTATTGTGGTAGCGCAGTTGTTGTGTTGGTCTAGGCAGCAAAGTTTTTGAGTACAGATGGCAGTCCAAAGAGACACGTCAGTTGCATTGGGTAGGTTGTTGTATGCCAGTCTCAAGAACCTGTGAACCAGATGTTGTTCGGCGATACTCAAATGAAAATACTTTTGGCTCGGATATATTTTCGTAAACCATTCGTTTTGTATGAGAATGTTCGGAATACGAAAATTATTGATCAGTCGAAAAGGTTTTATTTTGACAAATCAGTGTCGTTTTGAATGAAATTGTCGGGCTTTAACATTAGAAGAGGAAATGATACAAAACAGGGTGTTTTTTGTAATCTCTAGTATATTAATTTGAGCATTGCAAACAATGTTTGAAGATGGCTTAAAATCCCACGCATAAAAATATAATTTTTATACCATCATATACCTACATAGTTTAGATACCAAATGATATAGTTAAACACTTGTATTATGGAAATCTGAAACAGCGAAGGTAACAACACCCAGACCAGAGACAATATAGAAAAGCTCATTATCTGCATTAACATGACCGAGAGTGGAATGCGGGAGTTCAGAAATGGTGACATTTTGGAAATGGTGAGCCACTCACCCAAGATCCGACATATGCAATCTGGAACATCCTGATTGTTCCATAAACTTACAGATCGCATTAGATAGCCCCTTCCAATGTGTCATGTCATGCATTGTATTTATTTCTAAAGTTTAATAAACTGGTCTCATTACCATTTACATATTGGTGTGTACTTCTGGTAATCTACCTTGAATCAACTTGCAGTTGCAACCATTTTATGCACCCCCTTGTTTTTTGGGTGCAATATACTATTATCAAAGAAGAACTTGTTCGTTCTTCCTATCAGCCAAAAGACGTCCTGAACGAGTGGTGGGGAAAAATTTTGGACGATTCAAAAGAGAAGTCTATTTGAATAAATATTATTTTGACTTTGACTTTGAACTCTGAATTTGGCAAAAATTTCTGTAAAGGCACCTCAGAAAACTTCTCCACGGCTCTGAACACATCAGTGCGTCTGCCACTTAATATTTGGAAAATATAATCCTTGTTGAATGTTGATTAGATTTTATCAAAAAGCTCTTTAGCATTAAGGTCTTTAGCAATAGATCAATCTACAATTTGTTGTAAACTAGTTCTAAACTAATTGATTCATACTTTAATTCTGTTAAGGTATTTGTTAATGCTGTAGACTGAACCATTTCTATAAAATATAACTATAATGACTTCTATTCTCGCAAATAAAAATCTTATCTTAAATCATCAATTGTTGTAGCAGAAACAAATCGCCTCAACTTATAATTTAATTTGAGCATGTTTCATCTAATTTGGTTTCACCATAGACTGGGTCTTTAACGTTATTAAGAAAGAAAAAAATCCTATTTGAACTTGTATTGATTGTTTTACTATAGTAGGTACATAAAGAAAATTATCACCAGTCGTAACCGCTGCAAGTAGGAACTGTTCAGGACCGTGGGGTCGTAGGGAACGTGATGGTGGCTGTAGTTGCCATAATTGCGGTCCTGGTATGGTTACTATGTGCTATTTTGTTATGGAAAAATGCACAGGTGGATTAAGTTTTCCACTTTTTATCATGCATAATCAAAAAATATCACTGGTTGGGGTAACAAATCGAATGCAAATCACTTACAGTTTTTCTCGCCTCTGTACCTTACTTGCTCTCTCAGAGCTGGAATCCGACGACA